TGGAACACTGCCCAGCAATTTTAAGGGACCCAACATGAGGCCTAAGAGGGTGTTGGATCCCCTGGAAGCAGAGCTACAGTTGAGAGCTCTCGTGTGGGGGCAAAGCGAAGCAAGTTCCACTGCAAGGGCAGCAAGGGCTCTAAACCACGGAGCCGTCTCTCCAGCCAGTTGTTTCGTTTTGTTTTAACACAACATTTTTTACTCATTCTTTGATAATTTCATACAAGTATATGATATATTTTGATCATACTCCCCCCATCCCCCTCCTCTAGAGAAAAACGGTACAGGTAGAAAAGGGGGCTATGGGGGAGACTCCATCAGCCCCTGTACTTCCCCCTGGCTCATCTAGATGCAGGAGGGCCATGACACAGGGATTACAGGTATGCACCACCATACCAGGCTCTAGACGCCTTTTGAAGCCACAGCTGTCCTTCTGGCTGCTGAACCCATCTTCTTTCTCTCCTTTATTCATTCATTTATTTATTTATTTATTTATTTATTTATTTATTTATTGAGGGAGGGCTTCACTACATAGTCCTTGATATCCTGAAACTCTCTGTAGATCTGGGAGGCTTTGAACCCACAGATGTCCACCTGTCTATCACCTGAGTGCCCACCACACCCAGCTTGTATCTGTTTTTATGAACAGTTGGAGCCACAGAGGGAAAGAATGGCCAACATGGTGCGCTCGCCCTACGGAGCTTTGCTTCCATCCCAGCCTAGAGTTCGGAGCCATGTGGCTGAGGGAAACGGAAGGCTGTCCTGCAGCCACAGGTGACTTTCTGAAGAGATGGCACCCGAGAAGGAATTCAGGGGAAAGCATGTTCCCATGGCAATAGTCTGCCGGATGCTAACGGACTTAAAGAAGCCAGACAAAAGATTTAAGAAAAACGTGTAGCAGTCTAACCAACAGTGTGCTCTTTATACCTCTCTGGGGTCATTTGGTCTTCAGTTTATAGGGCAAAGGAACATGTAACAACAGAGTCTCACACACACACATACACACACACACACACACACACCTCTGGTTACTGTACCAGCTTTCAGATTTTTTGGGTGGGTGGGGTTATGTAGGAGTGTTGGTATGGATACCCAAAGTGATACATGGTGTCCTTTCCCCAGACTGGACATGCCTTTGGTGCTTGTCATTCACAGGTCCCCTTGGCACGTGCACCCCAGGCCCTCCTGTGTCTCATTCCGTGTACATTCAGGCCTTGCATCCAACTTCCTCAGGGAGGCCTCAGCCTTGGCCGCTTCCAGGACTATCTGCTCGCCAGCTAATTTTATTTTTCTCTATAGAACTTTTCATTTCCAGGCATTATGCAATGTATGTGTTATCCATCGGGGTGAGTGTGTTTTCCATCGACAATAACACAAGGCAGACAGGCTGTGTTTTAACAATAGCGACAAAGTTTTTTCGTCTCTGAGTTCTGGAGGTGCAAAGTGGCAAGGGAGCTGGTAGTGGCCTTCGTGCTAGCAGATGCCCAAGGAGCAGATCACATGACACGAGGCAGCAAAAGTGTATGTGTCTCTTCCAGGCCCTCTCTCACCTCACATAGCCGTCAGGATTCAGTCATGGAGCTGTTCGAAAGACCCTCTCTGCTCACAGCCTCTCCCCAAAAGGCCCTGCTCTAAATGCTACTGCTGGATGACACGTTCATCTTCTCAGTACTTCACAGTGAGAATCCAGTCTCACGCCTGAACCCTTCAAGGCTGTGGTGGGTACTATTTCTTGACTTGACACAGTTTAGAATCACCTGGGGAGGGAGTCTCCATGGGGGATTATTTAGATCAGGTTGGCTTGTGGGCGTGTTTGTGGGAGAATGCCTTGGATACAAAGACTCAACCTAGAAGCGGACAGTACCAATCTCGGGGGTTGGGTCCTGGACCAAATAAAAGAGAAAGTAAACTAAGTATAAGGCATGCATCTGTTCTCTCTCTGTTCCTGACTGGGGATGTAACCAGCTACTTTGAGTTCTTGTTGCCTTTACCACCCTATAGTGATGAACTCTAAGCTGGATCTGTAATCCTTATACATTCTATCTCTCTCAAAGTAGCTTTGCCTGGGCGCTTTATCACGGCAGCTGGACAAACCTAGGACAGGAGGCATCCAGACCATACCCAACCCATGCCCTGCTCATCCTCCCTCTGCCAGCACTGGGCTGGGAGTCACCTGAGGTGCCGTGATCAACAGAGTCTTGGCATTGGTGATGTCTGGCATGCAGCTGGCACTCAGTGGTTGCAGAACACAAGTGTTTCTGTCCTTTGGTCTCTGCCTCGTCCTACCCTTTCTCTGACTCCTCCCATGCCCTTTCTCTCTCACCTTTGTCTCCCATCTGTAGGAGAGACCGGTCCTACAGCTTCCTCAGTCAGCAGAGGTTGGCGGTTGGTCGGGGTCCTACACCTTCCTTCTTCTTTTCAAGGCATCTACTGCTAAATTAAAAACAAAGCAAGAACTCTTCCGATGTCCATGAAAACATCCCAAGACCTGAGAGACCTCATTTGCCCTCAGATAGGAAAACCCAGGTGCATTCCAAGAATGAGGCAGGTCCCAGCGCTATCATCATCAGTGATCAGGAGACATGATCAGAGCATGTCGGCTGATGTCAGCGAACCTGTGGGAGAGGGCCTGCGGGACTTCCAGTACAGCTTTCAGTGTCTGCAGCTCTGGGCCGGGGGCACACACAGGTGAGGTTCGTGGGTTCTCTGTCTCCCCTGTAACCAACTTCTACCTGCTTCAAGGAAAGCAGGGGACTTGGGGCTCCTGTGGCCTTGACTTCTCTGTGAGGAGGCATGCTTTGTTCTTAGGATGTAAGCAGAGCCTCTTGGGGTAAGAAAAGAGTGGTGTGTGTGAGTGGTGGGTGCTCCTTCTGTCCCTCTGTCTGTCTGACTCTCAGACTATTAATACAAGCCACGTGTCTGGCTGCACCCAAGCACACGTGTTCCCCTCCCAGTTCAGCCCGTTGTTTGTTCCTTCTGATCGGCGCCAGCCTCATAGACCCCATGGAGGTAGAATATAGCTTTCTATAAATAAACCCTAACCTGACCTACAATTTAGTCCTTGGGTTTTTTTTTTTCTCTTCGTGGTAATGGGATCATAGCCCAAGATGGTCTCTCCTACATCTCCTGGTCCCAGAAAGCAAGCCCTAGGTGTGTTCAGGTTTGGGCATCACTTGAACTCTCTGGTCTCCCACATCCCTGGCATGTGGTGGCAATACAAGGGCATACTGAAGGATGGTGGATGGGCTCCCCTGCAGCCACAGGAGGCTGGGCACAGCCCATATCACTCAGGGACTTTGTGTGAGTGGCATCTTTGCTCAGAGGATCTGCGACCCCTTCTCCTTCAGACAAACCAGCAGCTCTCTTCTGTGTCCCTTCCGTAACCACTGTCCCCTAGAGTCACCAGAAAGCTAATTGTTCCCACCTGGCTCTGAATCACAGTAGTCCAGGCTGATTCTTTACCCATGTGCCCATTTGGCCCTGAGTAGCTGAGTGGGTGCCAGCACCAGGGACTGAGCTCAGGTTGGTTGTGGGGAAAACATTCTAATCCTGGATACCCCAGTCTCCTCCCTCCCCCTGTGTGCCACACCACCTTGAAGGGCTGGGCAAGCTCCCCATTGCCTCCTTGCTCTGGAATGTTCTTCAGGATGTATTCTCTGAAGGAATCTGGAACCACAGGGAGTCTGGCAGCATCCAGTGATATCTGTCAAAGACTTGATGGGGATAATTCACTTAGGGGGATTTATTGGGGATTAAAACAAAAAGCCAGGAGGGGCCGAAGATAGAGCTCAGTGGTAGAGAGTTTGCCTGGCATGTACAAAGTCCCAGGTTCCGTTCTCAGCGTGCACACACACACATCAAGGACGGAAGCTTACTTTAGGGACAGTGTTCCCCTCACACAAAGATGCATTTGACTTGATTTAAAGTGTTGCAGTTTCAAATCCTTTAAAAAAAAAAGCAGGTTGGGGGATAGGAGGGGAGATTGAGACAGGGCCTCATTGAGCCCTGGTTGGCCTTGAACCCCCAGTTCTCTTGTTTTCACCCTTCTCTTATCCCCCAGGTGTAGGCTTATTTTATGTACTGCTCCATCAGCCCCATTTCTTCTTATTGCAACCAAAAAGTAGCTGCTGAGTCCCAGCATGCAACACTCTCAAGCATCTTCAGGAGACCTGATGTTGAGAGAAGGACCAGGCATCGCCTCTGCCTTTGAAAATCTTTCACTTTTACTGGGGAGATGTAAAATCCACATTGGGAAAAAAGCTTGACCCAGTTCCCCATGCACTGGTCCTCAGTTGTGCGTGGCTTTGTGTCTATTCCAGTACCAAGCAGGGCTTGGCCAGACTAGACAACATCCCATGAAATGAATACACAAGGGAGGACCTAGAATTAGGACCCAAATAACGGCTTGGGGTGTCACAAAAGAGAGAAGACGCATCAGACTCTGGAACATTTCTGGAAGGTTCAGAGAGCGGGTGAAAAGTTCCAAGTATCCTAAAGAAAGGGGAGGAACCTGGGTGGTGGTAACCAGTGGAGTCAGCAAACTAAAGAGGCAGGGACCAGCAGGGACATCTGGAGTCAGCGGGAGGACTCGGGAGAGCTGGAGATGAGGACTGAGATGAAGAAAGCCTTGTTGGAACAATGGTCTGGGGCAAGGGGACTCAGTGAAGCCAGCAGTCCAGACAGGCTGGGGGGCAGTCTGCTAAGAGGAGGCTGGGCTGAGGGTGTCACAATGGCCAAGCAGGGCAATGAGGGCTAAGTTTGGAAAGGAAGGCATGAACAGGACTGTTTCCAAAGCCAGCACATAATTGCCACAAGGGCTACCAGAGAGTCTTCAAAGGTGTGTGTCTTCAAGGCATGAGTCATGTGACCAAGGGAAGGGTGTGAGATGACAGACGACATTGTGTGTGGTTGACAGAAAAACAAGACCACATCCTCTTGGTCATGATTCATTGTCTTTATTAACAATGCCTCTGGTCGCCAAAGCGGTATTAACACTGTCATCCTCTACGAGAAAAATGTTGGCATAAATAACTTAAATGAGAAAATAAATATGTCGCTGAACTCTTCAGAAACCACGGCTTCCCTTCTAGTGGATGAGAACCGCACAGAAAGTTTGCCAAACCCACCAGGCTAGCCCCAGGGGCCTCCCTGCCCCGTGTGCTCTTCCCTTAAAAACATTCTTCCTCCCCCCCCTCCCCTTTTAACAGTTAAAATCTACACACAGAAAGTAAGAGGTGTCTGGAAATGATTTACAAAAGGACTTGTGGGTGGCGGCTGTGGCACCTCCCAGCTTCTCTGCATATGTACAGCACTGGCCCCTCCCCCCGTTATTATTCTGTTTAATACGCCATCGCTAAGGAGAGCATAAGACACTGTTTTTCTAGACAGAAACGTGTCCGTGGGCGGCAGGCGGGAGGAGGTGTCCTGGAAGGAGACATCTTTGGTTGGAAGCGGCTGGCAAGCCCAGTTTCCCCCAATGACCTTATAAACTGTGGTGTAGAAAATCCGTTTAAAACATGGCAAGGCAGTGGGAGAGGGTAGGAAACCGATCTTCGGGGAGCAGGGGTGAGATTTCTGTCACCATCTCTAGAACCCTGTCCTTCTCTACCTCAGCTGAAGGCAAATTTGAGATGAAGGAATAGGGGGTAGCCGAACATCTGGGAGGCCAGGTTGGGAATTAACAACCTCTTCCAGGAGGTTGCCAACCAGAGGTCTCTCCCCGCCCCCCTCTTTCTACCTCATTCCCTCTCTGTCCCCCTCCATTTGCCCAATCCTTGGAATCTCAGAAGAGTCCTTGGAGGGTCTAATCTCCATCCTGATCCATATTTTACAAAGGAGGCAACTGAGGTACCTAAAGAGAACCACGTAGCCCAACCTCACACTCAGTGGCCAAGCCAGGGTCAGAAACCCTTTCTGGTCCCGTGTTCTTGCACACCGGGCTTTACAGCAGAGTGAGGGTGAGTGATCTTTCCGCAGCCAGTCCCAAGTGCTTTCACACTCAGCTCCCTTTACGGTGAAAATGCTACCTTGTCCTGTAGGGGACCGGCGAGGGTAGAAAAGCCCCCAATCCCCTCCCCCCCACACACACACGGGGGCAGACTGGGCAGAGTGACTCAGTGTCAATGACTCAACTCCCTCTCTTGACCTGCGGGAACCCCCTCAGCGGGCAAGAGGGCGAGGGGACTCTACGGGTTGGGGACTCCGCAGGGCCTGGAAGGTTTAGCGCCCCTAGCCTGGGCTGCAGGCTTTTACAATAAAAAAACGAGTCGGATCGCGCCGGGGCTGCGTGGGCGCGGGAGCGCTCTAGTAGGCGTTCTCCAGCTCCGCCTGGTTGGCTTTGGCGCCCCGGGAACGGGGCCGTGGCTTGCGACCCTTCTGCGGCCGCGCGGTCTCCGGCCCGAAGTCCTTGAGCTCCGACTGGTTGTGGAAGCGGGTGAGGCGCTTGCACTTGCAGGAGGCCACCAGACGCACCTTGCGCGCGCGCGGCGCCGCGCTACCGGGACACAGCATCTGCACCCGCTGCGCGCGGTAGCGGTCCGGGATGCAGCGGAAGTCGGGTCCGTTTGGACGCCACCACTTCACGCGGCCGATGGCGTTAGGCAGCAGGCGCGCGGGGCCACATTGACCTGAGCACACCAGCTCGGTGACAGGCTTGGTGCTGCGACACGGCCCGTCGGTCACGAAGCGGGTGTAGTGCAGTTCGCGGCAACTGTATTCGGACGCGTCTGCGGAGAGAGGGGAGCGTGAGGGCAGCAGCCTAGCCCAGGCTGGGCTGCTCGCGTCATTCATTCCTCCTTGCTTTTTCCAAATCTGCCCCTCTCCAGGAGCTTTCCCACCAATGCAGGGATAGTAGAAAGGAGGCACCAAGTACTTTTGGAGCTTCCTGGGGGAAGATCCCTCCCTGGCTGCTCTCTGTCCTTGGAACCCAGTGATCAAACACCAGCGCTCTGTTATTTACTTTCAGTGTGATCTGTGGGCAAGTAACTTAACGTCTCTCGTCCCCACATCTGTAAAATAGGTTGCCCCAGGATCCAATGACCTCAACCACTACATGCGCGTAATACTGGGCACTGTGTGGCAAAGAGTTAGAAGAAGCAGTTTGTTCCTGTTTGGGGACTGGGTCTTATGTAGCCCTGGCTGGCTTCAAACGGGCTGTGTAATTGAGGATGATCTTGAATTTCTGAGCTCCCGTTTCCACCTCTCCGGTGGCGGTATACTGGCGTGGGTCACTCACTCTGTCCGGCTTAGGAGGTACTAAGGATCCAGCCCAGGGCTTCCTGCATACTAACCAAGGACTCTTCTCAATTAACTCCTTATCCCCAGCCCTGCCTAGCAGCCATTAGTTACACCTGGCTGGCTCCGGTCCCTTCTAAAACTCCTTCACCGGCCACTGGGGCAGGGGCGCGGTCTCGGGAGCTGGAGAAAGGAGTGGAGGTTAATTGAAGGTAGTAAATCACGGCAGCTGCTGTGGAGGAGCGGGTAGAAAGGCAGGTGGTGGGGATGAGAATTCATTAGGCTTGAAAGCCACCAAAGGCAGCGTTTCTAACCCCCTCATTATCACAGGTCCAGGCTGAGAAAAGAACTTGCCCCAAAGGCAGGGCTGGGTTGCTTGACGCCCCTGCCTAGGACGCCAGCACCTCCAGGCTCCTGCAAGGGTGAAAGTGATTTGTTAGAGGATTCCAGGTTGGGGATGAGTGAGGATTGAGGGCAGGTCTCTCTTTGCTAGCTACTTCCTTAGCAAGAGGGCGATAGAGTATCTGACCCCCAACCCTACAGTTCCTGCACACCAGGCTCTCTTGTTCTGTGTGCTTTGAACCGGTAGCTCATGGTGATCCAAACCTGCTCTCCAATGAACGAAGTTGGGTCTGGTGCCTGGCCTCATCTCTCACACACCCAGGCTATGTCTCCCACCACGGGCTTAGGTGGGTGGGAGTTTTTAAGCTAGCTAATTCATAGGCGCCCTCCCCGCCCTGCAGTTTCACAGGGTCAGGGCAAATATGACACAAGGATTATTATTTTTTTTTTTTAAAGTTCCAGGACCAAAACCAGAGAGGAGCAGAGGCCAGGATCAGCCTCCGCCCCAGAGAGAAGGCACAGCAGGGGAGGTAAGCGCCTCGCCATCCTCCTGTGGCTGGCTTTTTGGCTTCTGGGCTGATTTGACTTCCTCACCCCTGCAGAGGTGGGATGTGGAGGTGGTCTGTTTGCCCAGGGAAGGATAAATTTGGGGGCTTTCCAAGAATAGTGCCTTTAGGTCAGGCACTTCCTCTGCAAAACGTGACTGCAGGGCATTGCTCCTTTGGGGTGGCCCTTTCCCCCACACCCCTTACTGGCTGGGAGACAGCAGAGGCAGAGTATGGTGGCAGCTTGGGAAATGAACTTCTGCTCCACTCAGATGGGGACCAGCAGGCAGCAAGGTCCTCACTCTGGAGGATGTCCCTCCAGCTGCCACCTCACCCCAGTCGTTCCTGCCAGCTGCGCGCTTGATCCCCCAGGCATTTCTCCATGCAGGACTGCCTTCACAGGCTCTGTCCCCAGGAATGAGGCAAAGCCGGGGCCGGGGTGCAAGCAGAGGGCAGCTGGTGCCTCTTGTGCCCGCCCATATGGGGGATGCTACACTCAACTGCCACTCATGGGCTAAAATCATACCGAAAACCCCATTCTCTGATGCTAGCCCACTGAGTCTAATGAGGGGAACTGAAGGGGTTCTTTCTGGCTCCAGGTTCCCACCCGAACCCAATCTCAGGTTGCACTGCAACTGGATCAAACCAGCTTCCAGTCTCAGCTCTTCTCACTCCCAGGTGACTTTACCTCAGGAGCCTCAGTTTCTCCACCTTCAAGCTAAGGCTTTACCTCCGGGGTGACCATGTGGGATACAGGACAGCCACAGAATCTGGCATCCACCAGGTGCCTTACCTGGTCACCTCCCCGCTGGTCCAGCTAGAGCTGACCCCCATGTCCTCATCCTTGAGGAGATTCTTTGAACCATCATACAAGCCCATGCCCACGTTTATGCCAGCTTTGACAGAGCTCAGTCTCCCCACCCTGCCTTGGACACTCTGCCAGCCCCTCCAAGCCTGTCCCCAGATATAACACTGCTAACATTCTTCCAGGCAAGCTGGTCTCTCCCCTGGTGTGTTAGAGACCCCCAAAGAGCAGATCCTAAAACTACCCCAGTTCCCTCCCAGGATCCCCTTGCTACCTTGTCTTCCTCATCCCATACCTTTGGTGTCATAGGGATGGTGGGGAGGTCTCCCTCCGTTCTCTGCCCGGTTCATGGTCTGGTTGTTCTCCAGCTCCTGGGGAGGCTCGGGGTAGTCTCTGAGGCCAGGGATGATTTCTGTGGCATCATTCTTGAAGGCCGGCCACCCCTGGCCCTCCACAGCACGGAAGGCAGCATGGACAAGCAGGCAGACAAGACAGAGGGCCAGCGAGAGCTGCATGGTGCCAGGTGGAGGGAGGACACTCAGTGGCACAGGCTCCAGTCCTCAGCCTAGATACAGTCGCCTTTTTAAAGCCCCCTCTGCCTCATGCCAGCCAATGAGGATGGGCTGGAACAGGGCTGGTCCCATGTTTCCTCACCCCCCTCCCCAGGGGGAAAGGGGTGTGCTCAGAGTGAGCCCTCCCTAAGACTTCTCGAGCTCAGCAAACTTCCAAATTGTTGCTGGCGCTCTCAGGTGACCCGAGGCAGGGACAGAGCCAGCGCTCCCAGCGCCTCCCACATTCAGACGGCTGTGGTTTTCAGATATCAAAATGAGCTTGGCTTTTTAATTGTCTGACTCCCTGGGCCCCTCAGGCATTCTCAAAACAAACTGTGGGCCAGCTTAACAAAGGAAACGTGGGGCTCTGACTTCTACAGAAGGCAGGCAGAGTCCAGCTGACCAAATTCCTCCAGCCAAGTTCCTTTGTCGCCCCCCCCCCCCGCTAATGGTCTTAATTAAAGGTGTTTGATTGCACCCCACTCTCCACCCAGAAGCAAAGGATGCCTTTTTTTCATTTGGGGGGATTCTGGGGAATCTAACCTAGGGTCTCATGCTTGCTGTGCACACTACAGGGATGCTTTAAAGGTAATCCCATTGGCCTCCATAGGGCTCAGCACTGACGATTCTGAGCAGAGAAGTCTCTGGACTTTCTCTTCAAAATCAGGGGGGAAGTAGAGAGTCCACAGCCACTGGCGAGGAAGTGGGATTCTGGGGACAGGTTGAGGGAAAGCAGGTCACCATGGCTCTTGGAGATGGCTCACACTGAGGAAATCTCTTCTACCCTTGACCTGGGGTCCATTACAGAAGATTGTTAGCCAGGGAACTCAATGTGGCTTATAGGCTGGTGTGTCAGAGGCAGTTTCTTCCCCGGTCAGGCCTGGGGCAGGCAACACAGACTCCCATCTCTTGGCAAAAGCCAAGGCTAGTGCATTTATTGGTGATATACCCCCACCATTTCTCAGCTTATGATATTTTTCATGTATGCGTGCGTGATACATGTGTGCGAGTATACATGTATGAGCATGCAAAGACCAGAGGAGGTGTGTCCTCCTCTGTCTCTCTCCAAGTTATCTCCTGAGACAGGATCTCTTCCTGAGACATTTAGGTTAGGCTGGCTAGCAGGCTAGTGAGCTCCCATGACCCACTTGCCTCTGCCCCGCCACCCACACAGTCCTGGGGTTTAAGTACAGATGGCCAGGTTTCCACATGGGTGGCAGGGATTCGAACTCAGGTCTTCGTGCTTGCACACCATGCACTCTTACTCACCAAGGCATCTCTCTGGCCTCTCGTTATGTTTTCATAGACAGCTCTGAGTCTCAGATGAAAAATCCAAGGGACACATATATATAACAGGTGAGTTTCAGAAAGCCACTTCAGGCCCATGTAGGCCACTGATTCTCAACCTTCCTAGTGCTGTGAACCTTTAATAAAGTTCCTCATGTTGTGGTGACCCCCCCCAGCCATAAAATTATTTTCATTGCTACTTCATAACTGTAATCTTGCTACTGTTCTGGATCGTAATGGAACTATCTGATACTTCCCATGGTCTTAAGGGTTGATGACCCCTGTGAAAGGGTCATTCAATAACTCCCATGCGGGCACGACCCATAGGTTGAGAACCACTGGTCTAGGCACAAAGAAATCCAAGGGAGCTGCTGGCTCAGCCTGCAGTAGCAAAAGGGCCATGCCAGGGGGAGGACGGGTATGAGCAGGAAGATTCACACCTGAGGTGCAAAAAAAAAAAAAAAAAAACGGCCCAGCGGAAGCCTTCATTGAGATAGATTGTCAGAGGATGGCCCAGCCCTGGAGGAAGGCTGGGAAGGCGGCTATGGTCCACCTCGCCTTGGTATGCTAACTGCAACGAATTCCCACCTGCGCAGCTTCTGCAGGGCTCTGCCACCTGCCTCGACTTGTGAGTGGTCTGTCCATCTGTGGCCAAGCGCCTGTGTCCTCCTTTTCATCTTCCGTCACCCACACATCAATGCAGCTGCTTTGACAGGTTTACAAGGCAGACAGAAGGCCCCTCAGGAAGGGCCCTCTCTGATACCTGCTTCCTAAGTCAGTTTCCTTCAGGGCAGACAAAAACAGCTGTGGCCATTGTTGGGGGGTGATCTATCTCTCCCACCAGAGCTGTGGTGTTGTTAGAAGCTGCCCCCTCCTTTTGTCTGTGACCTCCAGTCCCCTTTCCCCTGCTCTGGAATGTGGACTGTTAACCCTGTCTGGGCCAGAGAACCAGCCTGTTATTCCAGATTGGGAGGGGGCAGTTCCTGGGCGGACGGGCATGTGTTTCTGTGAGCCTGCAGACTGGTTCTCACAGCACCACCTGCTGGTGGGAGATGACCATGGCCACCTTAATCGAGATGCAACCTGTGCTTGGAACACTTCTGCCACCTGCTGGACATAACAGGAGAACCCAAGTGGCCAGAGTGATCAAGCTCGGGATTAAAGTGGTGTTAACAGGAGAAAGGGTGTATACAGAGACTCAGTTCCTTAATGGCCATCCCTCTGCCAACAGGTAGCCCTGCCATGCTCAGGAAGACTCTGGGAACCTGCTGTGGTGCCTGCCTTCTGTTTACTCATTTGAGGTTAGGTCAGTGATGAGTGTATTTACTCAACACAAAATAAAAGTTTATCAAGGTTAAGTAATAGCCTTGGAGTCAAACCACAGGTCTCCACAGATCCCCATCGACTGTAGTTAAGGGTCTTTCTTCTTCTTTTTGTTTGTTTTTTCAAGACGGGATTTCTCTGTATAGCCCTGGATGTCTTGGATGTCTCTCTGTAGACCAGGCTGGCCTCAAACTCAGAGATCCTCCTGCCTCTGCCTCCACAGTACTAGGATTAAAGGGTATTTCTGACCTCTTGTTCTCAGCAAGACTGCTGTAAATGTTCTTGTATGCTGTCGTGGGTTTGCTGTCTAGTCTGTTTGGGGTTTTGTTTGTTCGTTTGTTCGTTTTGTTTTTGAGATGGCCTTGCTGTATAGCCCAGGCTACCTTCAAGTTCATGGTGCCGTTTCAGCTTCCCAAGGGCTGTAGGTAAAGGTGCGCACTGCCACACCTGAATAGTTTTTTAATTACTCTTGAGAATATTAAGATCATTGTAAGTTGACAAGTACTTGAACTAATTCAGAGAGATTTTATGTCTTCTCTACCAAGTTTCCCTCCATAGCAACAGCTCACCAAAGGGGTCAGTACAGTGTCATGGCCAGGACACACAGGGCACCCATCTTCCAGCCTCCCTGATTTGCCATTGCTCACTCACACATGTATCCACTGTGGCACACGCTCGTGTATTAGCTTTTTAAATGAGTTTGGATTATTTTATGTATGAGTGATCTATCTGCATGTGTGCCTGCAGGCCAGAGGTGGGCATCAGATCTCATTACAGATGGTTGTGAGCCACCATGTGGTTGCTGAGAACTGAACTCAGAACCTTTGGAAGAGCAGCCAGTGCTCTTAACCACTGAGCCATCTCTCCAGCCCCTCCCCACCCATGTTCTTCCTTCTATGCAATTTTATCACAAAATTTGCCTATTCACCATCACAATTAAGATGAAGAACAGCTCTGTGGCCCCAAGGACCTGCCCTGATGTCCTTTATTATTTATTTATTTATTTATTTATTTATTTATTTATTTATTTATTCACTTTTTGAAAGAGTGTCTCGGTACCATAGGCTAGCTGAGGCTAACCTTAATCTCCAGATCCACCTCCCAGGCGTCGAGGTTGCAGGTACATGCCACCTCCGCCAGCTCTGTCTCTTGTACAAAGATGTCCACTTACTTGCCTCCTTCACCCTCCCTCTTCCAGACCCTACTCACAGCAACCACCGACCTAACCGCGTTTCCCATCATTTTTCAATTAAAAACCGCTATGCAGATGCAACCAATGCAGGGCGCTGCCTTTTCTCACTCAGCATAATCCCCTGGAGTTACCCCGTATATGGGTACAGTGACAGGGATGTATCTGTCACTAGTGTCCTACAGAGAATTTTCATTGCCCAGGTTCTCTGTGTTGCCCCTACTCATCCTTTCCTCCCAGCCCAACTCCCAGCACACTGAGTTCTGTCTCTGTAGGTCTCATGGTCCCCAGAACACCCTGAGCTGGACTCACACAGTATGCCAGCTTACCAGGTGGGTACCTCCAAAGGCTAAATTGTAGGTGTTTAAAAAGTATTTTATTTTTAATTATTTGTACATCTGTTTGTGTGTATGTGTTCGAGGCCTGTGGAGGCCAGAGGTGCCGGATCTTCTGGACCTGTAAGTGGTTAGTGAGTCACCCAACATGGCTGCTGGGAACCAAACTCAGGTCCTATACAAGAGAAGTATGAACTCTTAACTGGAGCCATCGCCCCAAGTCCCCTAAGTGGTTATTTTTTAAATTTAGAAAAAGGCTGTACCAGTATGGTGGCATGTGTCTCAATCCTAGCACCTGGAGGCAGGGGACAGGGAATCAGGAGTTCAAGGCCAGCCTTGGCTACAGGTGGAGTTTGAGTCCAGGCTGGGCTACCTCAAAAACAACAATAGCACCCACCACAGAAGTCAGAAAAAAGCAAACATAAATAACTCAAACCTATAAAAGAAAACACACACAAAACAGACTTCTTTATAAGGTTAAGACATTTATTTTGGTTACAATTTTATAGTGTTAACACTGGTGATAGAGTAGACATTAAACTTTCCCTTTTACCCCCATGGCAGGAATTGAACCCAGGGCTTTGCCCTCCACCATCCCCTTTCCCCTGAACCTTTCTGTCTAGAAAAATCACTCTTTTACAAGTTACCCTAACAGGGGGAGGAGGCAAGAGCCCCACAAGCTGAACATTCACCAACGGTCTCTGTACCCTGAGACTCCCTCTGTTTACGATCAGGATAGAATCCAGATCTGGGAAGACCATATGATGCCACTTTTAAGAAAGGGAAAATGTTCTGTGAGGAAAGCTCTTATCTTCATATTTAAGATCAGTGCTTATTTTGATTAAAACGTTGAGCATCTTAATACTTACTACAAGCATCTTCAGTGAGCTTGTGGCTGGAAAGGCACCAACCTTCTCAACAGCGCCCCCTGCTGGCCACACACTGTTACTCACGCTCATTTCCCCGAGGGTGTGTGCTATATAGGCCAGC